TTATTTACATATTTTTGAACTTTTTCTCAATATATGTAGTTGAAAAAAGTTGTTTAATTTAAAATATAAAATGATCTTGAATTCGTTCTCTGAGATATTTATTTATGTCGCCGAAAGACAATTAACAATATTATTTTTAAAGATTTATTTAAACTTTCTTTCTCTCCTTTTCGGGGCAGTGTTTTTAGAAAATAGTGATGTAAAAAAATTCAAGAAGTAATCTTTTATTACATTATTGCTTCAAACAAGCAATGTACCTAGCCTTCTAACATAACTTACTTTCATGTCATCTCCGATAAGTGTAGTTGCCACCTGCTCAAACTCTTTCACGAAAATGTCAATATGAATGCGTCGAAGTAAGCCGAACGCACCATTCGGAAATAGGCTTATTCACACACAAGTTGAACGTAAAGAATATCAAAAGCATACTAATTTTCGTCAATCTATCGGTGATCCCCAATAAGTCAACCTTTGGACCACTTCTCGGATATTAACAATAAATCTTACTGCATTCGTGCAAAGCTCCGTCGCACTGGTACTTTCAACAATGCAATGGCAAAATCACCATAATGTTTTAATATTTTCAAGAATTACAAATCATCATTTTGCGTTTTCATTAGTCAGCTTCGCAGATAAGCGCATACATTTCATACCCATGAATTATTTATAAGATTTAAAAAAAAAATTTTAATCGCATTGCAGTATTGTATTTTGCAGCACGTTTTCTGATTGTATAAGCGCTTATAATAATCAATTTCTTTTTAAATTTAATTTTATACATACATACATACGTATGTATATATACTAAAATTCCATACGAGTATATTATCACATTAACATATTTATTTACATAGGTTATTACTTGAATTTTTAATTTTCCATAAACTTGTTAATAGCAGCTTCCGCATATACATACAAATAATTTATGTACTAACATATGGTACATGGGATATTTATTATATAAGGTTGTCAAATATCTTCCTTCCGCTTTTTTGCTCTTCATTCAATGCTTTATAAAAAGTGTTGCAGTTAAAATATGCGCCGTTTTGTTCGATGATCTGTTTCCATCTAGACGGCAACTTCATAATACCTTCCTCGTAGAAGCCCCCTCCTTATTTGCGAAGAATTCGGACAGCCACTTTTCACAAGCCTCTTTTGAGTTCAACTTCACACCACCAAGGGCATTCGCCATGGACAGGAACAGGTGGTAATCACTTGGCGCTACGTCCGGGCTATATGGTGGATGCGATAAAACCTCCCATCCGAGCTCCCGTAGCTTCTGACGAGTCATCAACGAAGTGTGTGGTCTGGCGTTGTCCTGGTGGAACACTACACCCTTCCTGTTGGCCAATTCTGGACGCTTCTGGTCGATCGCCTGCTTCAAGCGGTCCAGTTGTTCGCAGTAGATGGTAGAATTAAGCGTCTGGCCATATGGGAGCAGCTCATAGTGGATGATTCCCTTCCAATCCCACCAAACACACAGCAAAACCTTCCTGGCCGTCAATCCCGGCTTGGCCACTGTTTGGGACGATTCACCGGCCTTCGACCACGACCGTTTTCGCTTGATATTGTCGTATGTGATCCATTTTTCGTCGCCAGTCACCATCCGCTTCAAGAATGGGTCGAGTTCGTTCCGTTTCAGCAGCATATCGCAGGCGTTGATTCGGTCCAGAAGGTTTTTTTGCGTCAAATTATGCGGCACCCAAACATCAAACTTTTTTTTGTATCCAGCCTTCTGCAGATGGTTCAAAATGGTTTGGTGACTAACTCCCATCTCCTGGGCGATGTCACGAGATGCCATATGCCGGTCTAACTCTGTATTCTATGATTTGATCGGTATTTGTCGTCACAGGTCTTCCGCCGGCCGGCTTATCCATGGTGTCGTTTTCACCGGCTCTAAATCGTCGAAACCATTCCTCCGCGGTTCGAAGTGATAGAGTACCATCCGCCAAAACACCATTAGTCTCACGGAACGTTTCTCTAGTGGATTTGCCTTTAATGAAGAAAAACTTTGAAATAGTGCGAATTTCGGCGTTAGTGAGCTCCATGTTTACACGTCTATAACTGTTGAACGCAATATCCAAACTAATCATGCATAGCATTTTGTAGGTTATGTCAAGACCTTTCAAATAATGTATACTGTTGTCAGATACGAGCTCTGTAGCGCTCTGTACAAAGCTGCGAAATTCAAAAGACAAAAAAGCGGAAGGGAGATATTTGACAAGCTAATATATGCAGTTTGTGTGAAGTAAATAATATTTTATTACTATATATACGCGACTTATATATATTACTTAGAAGCAGCTGCAGAATTGATAAGTCATAAACTTATTTTTTGTATATAACATTATTATTATTATTATTATTATCATCATTATTAGAGTATTATCTTATTTTTTCTGTATTTTTTTTTTCTGTATTTTTTATTTGTTTTTATAATTTTTAATATTTTTTATTTGTTTTTATAATTTTTAATATTTTTTATTATTATTTTCAAAATTTTGTTTGATTATATTTCATAATTTTTTTAAATTTTTTATTATATACATTTGTGTTCTTTTTAATTTTTCTTATTTTTTCGTTATTTTTTATTACTCTTCATATAATTTTTATTGTTTTTTCTTATTTTTTTATTATTATTTTCATTTTTACCTTGTATTCATTATATATTTCTTTATTTATGTTTTTTTTATTACTTTTTTAGTAGCTACTACTTTTACTTTTTTTTTTATTAATTTAGTATAAACTGTAGGCCTCTCCATTTGTTGGAAAAAAAATTAAAACGCAAAATCACAAATTGGAGGAGGAGCTCGGCCGAAAATCGTTTCAGCGGTTACATAGTGCCAATTATATACTCGTATATATACTGATTTTACTTAATTTTGATATTTTTAATTATGAGTTTTGTAATTGTAATTAGTATATAATCAATTTTATAATTTTTTAATTGATATTGTTATTTTTTAATTATTTTATATTAATTTATTATTGTTTCATAATGCTTTTTATTGTTTTTTAATAATTATTTTATATTTATTTTTTTATTATATCTTTATTGCTATTTTCATCTTTTTTATATTTTCATTTTTTTAATTATTTTATTATTTGTTTAATACTTTTTTTATTATTTCTTATTTTTTTAATAAATTCTGACTGTTATTTTTTATTACACTTTAATTATGTTTTAACCTTTTTCATTTTATTTTTTTGGGCCATTTTTTATATTTTTTACAATTTATTTTATTATTAATTTTATTATTTATTTATTGTTTTTTATTATTTTTTCATTTTTTATTATCTCTGAATATTTGTTTTTATTATATTATTTTTTTATAGTATTTTTTTTAGTTTTATTATTTTTATTATTATTGTTATTATTTTTATTAATATTGTTATTATTACTTTTTTTATAGATTATTGTTTTATAACACTTTTTATTGATTTTCAATTATAAGTTTTAATATTTTTTTAATATACTTTTAGTGTTATTTTTTGAATTTTTTATATTTTTATATTACTATTTTTTAATTATTTGTTTAATATTTATTATTATTATTTTTTTTGCATAATCTACTTTTTTATTGTTTCATAACACTTTTTATTGATTTTTAATTTTTTTATCAATAAAATGTTTATTATATTTTTATTGTTATCTTCATTATTTCTTACATTTTAATTCTTTTCATTACTTGTTTAATATTTTTTGTTACTTTGTTTTCTTGTTTTTGTATAAGCTACTGTTATTATTTTGTAATTATTTTGAATTCATTTTATTTTCCATTTTTTAAATTTTATACTGTTTTTATATTAGTTTTTTTTTATTATTTTTATTACTTATATTATTGTTTGCCATTAATTTTTTTATTTTTTATTAACTCTTAATTATGTTATCTTATGATATTGTTTATGTCTTTTTTGTATTATTTTTATTATTTTTTATTACTTTATTATTGTTTCATAACACTTTTTAATTTTTTTTTAATTATTATTTTTGAAAATACTTTTATTGCTTTATTCATTAATTTTTTATATTTTTATTTTATTTTTTATACTTTTTTATTATTTTATTATTCGCTAATATTTTAATTGGGTTTGTTCTTTTTTATAATCTGCTGATTATTATTTTTTAATTGCTTTTAAATCCTTTTTTATTTTAGTTTTGTTTCAGCAAATTTTTTATTATTTTTTACTGTTCTTACATTGTTTATTTTAATTTCTTGTAGTATTATTTTTATTATTTATTTAGTTAGTAGCATTTCTTATTATTTCTTATTATTTTTTATTTTTTTTATATTTTTTTTTGCTGTTTTTATTTTTTTTTTTACTATTTTTATATTATTTATTTTGTTATTTTTTGTAATATTTAGTATTTATTTAATGGTTTTTATTACTTTTTAATTTATTTTTATTTGTTACTTTTATGTTATTTTTTTATATTATTTTTTTTTTGGTTTTTTCATATTATTATTTTTAATTTTTTAATTTTTTTGCTATTTTTTACTTTTTATTTTTTGGTGTTATTTTATTTTCACTACATCAAACTTTTGATCCGTACAGGTTTTAGGATACTAACCTAAAATAAATTATAAAATCAATATAATATTCAAAATAATTCTAGTCTTTGAAATGGATAGATTTTTCGTACAAATTATAATCCAGTTTTCAATTTTTAAGGAAAATCTATAACGTTAAGGAATATATTTGTTAGATTAAAAATTTTTTTTTTGCTCAAAAACAGCTTGAAGATCTATAAAAGATCAATAATGAACATACAATTTTTTTATTTCCTTTTGTAACAATAAATATTTTAAGAACTTTATGTCTTGACACAGTCTCGAAAGAAGAAAAATCGAAGAGGAAGGTGTTCTGTTCATACAAAGAGAATCAATCCACACATTTACGAATTTCTAACGAAACTCTAGCCTCTCTTTCATAAATTTAGTTAATACTTTTATAATGACAATAAAATAATAATAAAAAAAAAATATGCCCAAACTCACCATTTACGATGATAATGAAAATGATCGACACGAAAATCAGGTTTAATCCACATTTTGATGACATTATTGTTCAACGGCAACAGCAATAACAACAAAAAAGTTTTTAAGCGAAATTATTAAATTGCAGTTCATCAACACGATTTTACGACGCCTCGTCGCTGCCAACGCTTTACTACTTTATTTAAATTTCAATAGATTAGTTGACGTTCTCACTGAGAACCGATACAACAACAACAAAAAAGACACCTGCTGCTACACGTATGCAGAGATTAAAATGCTTGTTTAGCTGTACGTACACCAACGTGATAGACCGTAGAACTGCTAAGCGAGACCTTTAACCGACTGCACAATTCAATTGAATGCAACCGTTGTTTACACTACTAACTGCGCGAAATACCGTACGGTCGAATTGTGCGTTGCGGTTTCAAGGCTACACGAGACTGACTACGCGCGTATGGGAAATTACCGAATTTTCGCAAAAAACCCGGCGGTGGATGCCGCAATCACACAAACACAACGCAAAGGACACAAGTGGGTATGGTATTGCTTGCTGCTCCTCTAATGGGTATCGTGTGTCTGCTTCGCGTATGAAGGGAAAATCGGCTGGAAAATGGGCTACTATGGCATTTACCGTTATAAAGGCCGTATTTAGCTGACGCTTGGTCGCGGTGTCAGTGGGTATTTTTTCGCGCTATATCTTTGATTGGCAGTGTGTGTTTGCACGTTTTTACGACGTTTGTAGCTTACTGGTGGTTCTTAGTGTTGTTGTTGTTGTTGTTGTTGTTGTCATTTTCGTGGCGTTTTCGACGGGTATTTCCATACAAAACAAAATATGCAAAAATGCAATTTGGTCCTTATGCGTGTTGACGACTCAAAGCGTAGTTTCCGTAGAATTTCACGCGCGCGCACACACACGCACACACACGCACACACACATGCACGCGCATGCAACGGTATTGTGGTTTTTAAACTTGACAGGAGCTTATAGCTTCAATATATATATTTTTTGTTGTGTTGTTGTAGTATTGGGTGAAGAAAAAACTAAAGTGAAAACAAAGGATTTTCCGCAGCGAATCAACCCGACTAACCGTTTCGACCACAAGCCACAACTACATACACCCGTACAAACATACAACTACTACAATCTGTTTCTACTACTTCTTCACTACGCGTATCATTCGCTTTTGCACTTCCCGTTGAACACTGACTCTTTTTCCTTTATTTTTATTTTTTTTTTTTTGCTTTCTTTTTGCACGTCGTTTTGTTTTGTTTTGACTTCAACTTTGACACTTTTTTTCTATCCGCTGCCAATTATTTTTTTCACGTTTTGCTTTGACTGCTTCATTCGATTGAATGTGATTTGTATATGCTTTTAACGAGGTTTCCACTTCGCATTTACGTATTTTCCATGGAAAATTGCTTTTATTTAGATATTTTTCTGACGCATCTCGTACTTTTCACTACTGATTGGCGCAATTTTGTTATGGCTTCGTTATTTTTTCCCCCCGGTTTTCGCAATTTGCATTTGATTTCAATTTTATATATTTTTATTTCACCTTTTTTTTCAAATTCCATTTCTCGCACTAAACATGAAAATTCTCTTTTTCGTTTGATGTACGTTGTTTCGCTCCTTCGGCTGGCTGACTATTGTTTTCGTCCTGAAAAAAAATGGAAATGCGAAAAATTTGATATTAGATATCCATTATTGTAGACAAATTAATTAGATTTTGTCAATGTGATATACATATATGGAGTTTTTCATAGAAAAGTTTTGAATAACTTTTAATTGTATTTAATCGGCTTGTGTACAGTGATTTTTAGCAATTTATGGATAACCCTAACAAGTTATGTGACTTAATTAATTAAAATTATGGATAAAAGTGTATAAAAAAAGTCAATACAAAAACAAAAATTTCAATTTCATATTTTCATATTAAAATCATTTTTTCATCATTTTCATATAAAATTAAATTTTCAACGCCTCAAAGGATAGAAGTAAATTAAATTAAAAATAAGAAACTTAAATTAATTAATAAAAAAGTATTGAATTAAATTATTTTATTTATAAAAAAATATATTTTAGGTTGTCAAATATCTCCCTTCCGCTTTTTTGTCTTTTGAATTTCGCGGCTATGTACAAAGCGCTACAGAGCTCGTATCTGGCAACACTATACATTATTTGAAAGGTCTTGACATAACCTACAAAATGCTATGCATGATTAGTTTGGATATTGTGTTTAACAGTTATATACGTGTAAACATGGAGTTCACTAACGCCGAAATTCGCGCTCTTTAAAGTTTTTCTTCGTTAAAGGCAAATCCGCTAAGAAACGTTCCGTGAGATTAATGGTGTTTTGGCGGATGGTACTCTATCACTTCGAAAAGCGGAGGAATGGTTTCGACGATTCAGAGCCGGTGAAAACGACACCATGGATAAGCCAGCCGGCGGAGGACCTGTGACGACAAATACCGATCAAATCATGGAATACATCGAGTTAGACCGGCATATGGCATCTCGTGACATCGCCCAGGAGATGGGAGTTAGTCACCAAACCATTTTGAGCCATCTGCAGAAGGCTGGATACAAAAAAAAGTTTGATGTTTGGGTGCCGCATAACTTGACGCAAAAAAAACCTTCTGGACCGAATCAACGCCTGCGATATGCTGCTGAAACGGAACGAACTCGACCCATTCTTGAAGCGGATGGTGACTGGCGACGAAAAATGGATCACATACGACAATATCAAGCGAAAACGGTCGTGGTCGAAGGCCGGTGAATCGTCCCAAACAGTGGCCAAGCCGGGATTGACGGCCAGGAAGGTTTTGCTGTGTGTTTGGTGGGATTGGAAGGGAATCATCCACTATGAGCTGCTCCCATATGGCCAGACGCTTAATTCTACCATCTACTGCGAACAACTGGACCGCTTGAAGCAGGCGATCGACCAGAAGCGTCCAGAATTGGCCAACAGGAAGGGTGTAGTGTTCCACCAGGACAACGCCAGACCACACACTTCGTTGATGACTCGTCAGAAGCTACGGGAGCTCGGATGGGAGGTTTTATCGCATCCACCATATAGCCCGGACGTAGCGCCAAGTGATTACCACCTGTTCCTGTCCATGGCGAATGCCCTTGGTGGTGTGAAGTTGAACTCAAAAGAGGCTTGTGAAAAGTGGCTGTCCGAATTCTTCGCAAATAAGGAGGGGGGCTTCTACGAGGAAGGTATTATGAAGTTGCCGTCTAGATGGAAACAGATCATCGAACAAAACGGCGCATATTTTAACTAAATCCGATCACTGTAACACTTTTTATAAAACATTGAATGAAGAGCAAAAAAGTGGAAGGGAGAAATTTGAAAACCTTATATATTAATAAATAATTAATCGAATTTACATGAAATAAAAAATAATCATTATTCTGTATTATTTTCATTGCAAATTTTCCTACAACTTTTTGCTATAATTAATGAAATTTTAAACAATAACACAATAACGAGCGATTTTTTAGTGAATAAATTATTTTAAATCAACCCAATTATTTTTTGTAAACAGAAAACTATTTATTGTAGGTTAGCTGGGGTTGTGGTGGCTACCGTAGTAACGGTCTAACAAAAATGTAATTTTTTAAATTTTCTCTACTAATTTTAGTCCTACAAATGGCACATAAAAATTTTAGATTTTCTGCTGAAATTAAAAATAAGCAAATTAATTTAGTTATCCAAAAATATATTCAAAATTAATATTATTAATGAAATAGTATATAAATAATTAATTAATCGAACTTGTATAGAAGTAAAAAATATTAAAAAAATTTAATTGCATGATGCTCATCATCATCATTTTGTTTCGCTAACAAGCAAAATTAACTCAACGAAATGAAATCGTTCAAGTTGAAACCGCAAATAACTGATCGTGAACTTTAATTTTAAATTTGTTGCTTGCTGTGATATTAACAGCCCGTTTAACATGATCTGTTAACGATTTAACAAGAACGACAGCTTTTCGTTTAGGATAAAAACGAAGAAACATTTATTTTGATAGCTACGAAACAAGCGAAAATTTACGATTAACATGAAATTTACCGTTACGATATGGTATTCTTTTTTATTGTATTATTGAAATTTTTTTCCTATAACTTTTTCCTATAATCAAGGAATTTTTAAACAAAAACGAAAGAATATTTATTGATTAAATTATTTTAAAACATCCCAATTGCTACTTATAATCAGAAAACTATTTAGGTTGTGGTGCCTATCGATCTAACGTATCGGATTGACTTAGACCCAAATAAGACCCCCATTGTGTTGCCACAAGAACTTGACTATCAGGCTTTATTATCTAGCTATTTTTATTCTCTTATGAACCTCATTAGATTCATAACTTTGACGTCGACTATCTTCGATATAACGCAAGATTCCGAAATCTTGCCCTGCTCAAAGCAGGATCGTAGCATAAAAGATGACTAATTGTTTCTTCATTCTCTTTACTGCTTCTGCAGCATTTTTTATAAGGAGCCCCTATTCTTTCCAAGTATAGTTCTCCTACCAAACAGTGTCCTGTCAGAAGTCCTATCACTTTAAGCACAACTCTCTTCTTAAGGTGAGAGATCGGCGGAAAAGCTCATGTCCGGAGCAATACAGGCATCTATGCTTGGCCCTGACCTCTGACACACCAGTTACGACTGAATACTTTGTATGCTCATGCCGGACAACAACACTTATTTGGCAGCAGTCATAAATGCGTGGAATACATGGAGAAAGCAAAGCCGAATAAGATATTGATTAGAAGCGGCAGCGTGGCTCGCCTGTCACGGCCACAAGCCAGCTGCTGCTAACAGCAAAACATACCCACCTAGAGGTTGATTTGAGAACCATAAAGGGACAGTCAAGTAACTTGGCATGAAGCTTGACTCAGTACTGAAGATCTGGACACAACTAGAGAATGCCACAATTTGAGAGCATGTACCTCGAATGTGCAATCCCTTAATGGGGAAAATGCCGCTGCCTAGCTGGTTCTTACCAGACTAAGGCCTAACATCATTTCCGTCTAAAAAATGTGATGGAGGGGACAAATACGGAAATAGGTGGGCTCTTGTCATATTTACTAGAGCAACTATATAAAGAAACGCTAATTTTGTGCCAGATTCAAGGTGGCAGAGAGACTCCGTTATTATTTACTACGGTGAATCTGCTCAAAGTGAAATTTATTAACATATCATTGATTGGCGCTCACCCCCCGACTGCAGAAAAAGGTCGATGTGATGAAGGAAGCATTCTAGGAACTCATAAAGAGCTGAAACTGATCGATTTCGCCGGACCGGATGAAGTACGCTCAAATGAATTTAAACTGATCAAGTTCAGAAATATGGTAGTCTAAGGTAGGAGTTTTCCAAAGCTACTTAGCTGTCCTCTGATCGAAAAATCCAAAAGCGGATCGATCATGTTGTGTTCTTGACACTCCGAGGATCCACCATCGACTCGGACCACTATATTGTAGCAGCGAAGATACGCAACCGCCGTCAACAAACCTTATCAATGTGGCTTTAGACCTGGTAAGTCCAGCATGTGCCAAAACTCCACAATTACTCCCGTCCTGCTACATATAATATATGTCGTGGAAGCATGGTCGGTGACATCTTATAAGAAGTTTTCGTGAGAAAGATTTATAAGATTTTATAAGATTCATGGTTCTTTGTGCGATGGGAAAACCGCAGCCGTTGGAAAGTTTTCGATGCAGTACACAAAAGTGGACGTAGTGAAGGCGGAGCACCAACCCTCAGTTGGATGGAGGACCAGATGGAGGGCCTGGGGTTACTTGGTCTTACCAATTGGAGCCAAACAGGGAAAAGAAGGAATAAATGGCGCGCAGTTAGTTGTTGACACGGCCGTAGTCCCGGAGGTGGTATCTAAGCTAGTAAGGTAGAAGAAGAATTTATATGTATGTATATATATTTTTTTTGTTAGAAATCACGACTCTTTAAGAGATTTTGTTGATATTTTCCGACACAATAGGTTCAAATTTGGAATAGCATTCAACACTGTTGACTTGGGACTTTTGATTTTATGGTTAAAGGAGCCGCATGAGAGCAAAGTAAAATGTAGAATCTTATATTCCGTTATGTCCAAAATAATTCTAAGAAGCAGTTGTAGTTCTATTAAGCCAAGCTTCATTTTCATAAAACAAATATTTTTCAAATCTTGCTTTTTTAATTAACGGTAATATATAAAATTTTTGTTCAGAAAAAAATAAAATTAGCAGCTGAAACTATTTCATACATTCATACATACATATTTATGTATATACGTGTATCCTTTTTCATCTACAATCTTCAAAATAAAACCTGTAAGCCCACTCTCCCTCTCTCTCCCGTTCTCTCAGTGCACCTATGCTTCATAAGCGTATCCTTTCTGTGTTCCCAATACGTTGCTACTCAGTATCATTATCTATTGTCCTTTGTGGAACAAACAAACTCCAATTTGACTTGGTGGCATTCCCTAAGTATTTAATAAATATTTTTTTTTCTGATAAATCGACGAAACAGGGAACAAAAAGAGAATAGAGCACAGTACAATAAGTAAAGGCTCGTACTCTCTGACTGTTGCTGATTGGAGCGCAAAGACAAAGAAGCAGAATTCTTGAGGGGAATCATATTGTACATACATATATACTATGTACATACATAAGTACATACATACGTGTATATATGTATGCTCACATAGTTGCATTTGGGGTTATATCTATTTTTTCTTTACTAAATAAACGATGAGCAACAGCGTAAATTTTTTGAATATTTGAAAAATGTTCTTTGTGTATAAAGCAAAATTAAACGAAATATGATGCAAAGGAAAAATTGTAGAAGAAATGAGCCTTTTTTTAAGCTAATATATTTTAATAATTTTTTCCGCCACAATTTTTAAAGAATATTTATTCAAAACATTTTTATTCAAATTTTTTCAGCAATAAAAATTTAAGCATTAATACTTCTTTTTTTCAAATATAGCAATAGACAATAAAACTTTGTACCATTTTTTATTAAGTACAAGAGAAAGAGGGCAACACAATGTTATCTCTAAAAAAATTAAATAAAAAAATTTATTTTTTAACCGCATGCCTTGTCTGATAACTTTTTCATATCTGGTACCAGTCGAATTAGTTAAGAGTGATTTTTGCAACTAATTCCACAACTCATTCTTCTTGCTGTCCATAAGGAGTCCAACTCTCTTGTTTAGTTCTGCCTAACTGTCTTCACTGGGGTTTAGTAACGACGATAAAGACCAGCGATATTCACAAATAAAATTATTTCATATGTGTGTATGTATCTATTGTATTTGTATTTGAATAAACATGCTAATACAAATTTGCTTATCTCAAACGCTACTGCACAAAAGGCAAGCGACAAAACATATGTTTTTTTTTTATCAAATAGAGCCCTCCCTCATTGCATTGCTACCGCGTACATAATCAGTCGTGACTCGCGAGACTAATCAACTTAGTACGAAAAGAGTTGCCAAATAAATCTAAATAAATCCATATAATTCCAAAAACAACGAAAAAGAAGCTTAAATATTTAAATTTCCAATTCCCAATCTAATTCACAACACAACAAAGAGCGCAAGCAGAGAAACAGCAGCTATCGCTTTCGTACACATAAACAGTCAAGCAATTGGTAGTTAACAGAGAGAAGGCAGAGGAAAAGAGAAGAAGCGGCATTTTCAGTTGTAGTTGACAGCGCAAATGTCAACTTGCAACTGTTGTTAATTAAAGCTAATATTTATTTAGAAAAAAATTGACACTGTTGCAACGCTAATAGCATCGTAGTGATGCCTCGTTAAACATTGCAGTAGCGGCGGCAACATACGGCTGTTAGGTATAAGGTAAACAAATTATGCATGAAAAATTATAACATATTAATATGTTAGTGTTTTAAGTTAATGTATTTTAGTTATACATATAAAGGTTCGCATGAGTTCAAACCGTTTAGTTTTTAAATTGACGATGCATATAATTTCGTGCTATAAGCTGCGCGGCTAACATTGCATTATGCTGCATAAATATGCATAACAGCCGGTTGCCTTATATTGACTCGTAACATGACTGTTGCATTCGGAAGCAAAAAAAAACAATTTAAGTAATGTGTGGGAGAGTTTTGTTTATATAGATTCATTTTAGTTTAAAACAATGCTATTTTTATTACCTAACGGATATTCATTGTTATAAACCTATCGACTGCTAACATAAAAAGGGACTGCATAAATGTCCATTACAGCAGTTGTAGCAGCCTCTGTTACATTGCATTGGCTCATAACATAACATGCTGTATTGCATGACGATGTTTTCAATAACGGCTGTTGATTATGCACGAAGCCGACGCTGTGAATGTGTACGAGTAAATACGTCTAATACTTCATTTTAATTCCAAGAAAAACATTCCAAGTAGAATTTATTTTCTTTTTTGACAGATAAAACATATAAAGAAGTAAAGCAATTTAATCAAGCGCATTCAATAGAAGCCTATTTGTATATCAGTCTAAGTTGAGGAAGAACAAATAAAAGATTTTGCATAAAACATTGTTGCTCTCAACTGTTTTTTGGTTAATGTTTTGGTTTGCCACACATTGTTGTGCCAATTATTTTCGAAGCCGTATTGAAGGATTTTTTATCTCTCTTTATGTTTTTTATTTCAGTTGTCTGACTTGGATAAATTTGTATGCGCATGTCTCTGCTTATATTTGAAGAGACCCCCAACCCGCAACATCTGGCAGTGAGAGTAAAACATAAGTGGAAAAACAACTTTTGTATATCTTTGAGAAAAGCATAACGATTGGACACTCACTTTTTGACAGCTTGCAGTGAAATGGAATGCTCGTGTTGTTTTTTTTTTTTTTTTGATAAAATTTTAAACAGATATTTATGAGATAAATATTAATCACCCCCAGTTGGTGTGCATATTTTTCATCAAAAAGATGAGTATTCTAGTTGTTGAATATTTTGTTCAAAACTTTTACACATTCACAACATATTTACAGACTTTTTCTTATAGCACATTTCATCTTCACCATTTCAAGTGCTCGGCGTGCATTCTTGCTGCGATTTCTTAACTTTTTGCTGCACTTCTGACACAAATACCACTTTTCAATGCTTGCGTTAAGCTTCTGTTATGAGAAATTATGTTTTACACACATTTCTGCTTAGCCAGCTCTTTTAATTATACACAAAATGCTATACAGCACCAGCTGGTGCCAAGTAATAAATGTGGCTGGCGTAGAAGTTGCAGCGATGTTCCAGCTATACGGCAGCAGTAGTGTATCCAAAATGAACCACACACACGACGCTTTATTTAATTTTCGTATCGCTTGTCTATTTTGACAAATGTGAAAATTTTTCTGTGAAAAATTTCTTGTAAAAAAAATCTGTTGTTGGGAATTAGTATTAAAACTCAGTACCAGCGTAATGTTTGGACGCACGCACACAAACTGTCGCGACAATGCGTTTTTCTACACATAAACATAGATACATTCATATATTTGTAGCTATATGGAATTGTACATACATATGTGCTGTAGTTATTTGCTTTATTACTTTTTCTTTAATTTTTATTGTTGATTTCTTCTCGATTCTCCTTTGACGCCACTTCTCATATGTTGTACACTGGTGTACACTATTTACCCAACCGTTTATCACACACGACGACGTCGTCTCCGGCTGCGTCCCCCGTGTAAGGTTAAAACTCGGCGATATAAACCTTTCTTTCGCAAAAAAAAACAAACCACACACTTTGCGTACCAAACACTAGCGAACGCTTTCAATTTCCCGAAACAACTGAGATTTTCTTGTCTCTGCTCAGATTTGCTTTGGCTCTACGACAATACGACGAATCCAATGCATTTCGGTTTAATCTTCCCACGTCCTACTGTTCGCAAACGTTTTTAATCAACAAATGTTTTGCACACTTGTGGGTACACTCTTCTTACTGGAAAGCGGCAGTAGCTCCAGTATGAGATATTTTTGCTTTGTACGCTTAAGAAACGCTGTGGTGTGAATGAGTTAGCTAGCGTTTTGTTGCTGGAATTAAATTGACAGCTACCAAATTGGCCGTGTAATGTTGTCTCCGTTATACGCTCGTAAACTTATGGAAAAGTATCTAAGAGATACATAAATTAACACGCTATGAGCCGCTTGAAAATAATTTTTATTGAAAAAAAGAATTGAAAAATTAATTTTACTTTAATTAAATTTAAAATAATAATTAAGAATTTAACTTGATTTTTTCCATATGCATTTACAAACCGTTAGCTCTGATATATTAAAATGCACTAAATTGTATAGTAAATGATCTTAAAAAATATTTTCCGGCGATTGATAGTCTGTTGTTTCAGGTCTTCATAATCATACAGATTTGGTTTTGTTTTTACTGCCAAAGCTTGATCTAAACAGGGTTAGATCTCCGAAAGTGTGATAGCCCTTGGCCGAATAAAATCCGGGTCAACTCCGGTGCGTAGAACGGCTGCCTTGAGAATTGCCTGGCAAAGCTTGTTGTGTACTTAAAATCTGTTTCCCCACCGCTGCTGCCGGAAATGGTTTTAATCCAGTTCCATTCCACCTACTCTTCAGCTGTTTCCGAGCCATTTGTATGAGTAATAATTCTTCTTGCGTCTAAATGCCCACTTCCAAAGCTTTACATGAATCATTCCTATGAAATTCTCTGTCATAATTCGACGATGGTACTGGAAATACCAGATTGACATCCTCAAGGCTGAAAAGAAACACAAAAAAGTGTGCCTAGTTCCGTGTTAAGAAATAACAGCCCTAGAGTGGAAACTACTAGTTGGCTATACTACTTCTTAATTTTTCATTTTTTATTTTATTGTTATCTTTAATTTTTTTATTATTTATATTTTATACTTTTCACTTTTATTAATTTTTAAGTTTTTTACTTTTTTTAATTTAGTTGTTTTTTGTTTATTTTATTTTTTTTTTTTTGTATTTACATATTTTGTATATACATATGATTTAAATTTTTAAGTTTCATATTTTGATTATTATTTATTTTTCATTTTTATTTATCACTTTTTATATATTTATATCTATTTTTATTTATGTTTTTTTCTTCTATATTTATGCATTTTTATTTCTTAATTCTATTTATTATTATTTTTTTACTTTTCTAATATTTTGTTTTTTTTTATTTTCTATTTCTTATCATATTTTTAAGCTTATTTCCATTTTATTAATTTTTACTTTTTTAATATATATTAATTTTTTGAGTATTTTTCATTTTTTATTTTTATTTAAATGTTCTTATTATTTATTCTTTTCAGTTATTATTTATTTTAAGAATTTCTTTTGCTTTTTATTTCTCTTTTATTTTACTACTTTACTTTTATTTTTATTTCGATTTCGCTTTTAGTTTTTGTATTTCTTATTTGTAATTATATTTTATTGTTTTTTTAATTTTATTTATTATTTATTTTGAAATTCTTATTCAGCATTTTTTTTCTATTTTTATATTCGTTTTTGTTACTTTTTTATTTAGTTTTTCAACTTGAAATTTTTTATTTTATTTATTTTTTTAATATTTATGGATTTTTCTCATTTTATATTTTTATGAATTTTTCTCATTTTTCATTTTTTTTTTTTTTTTATTTTTATTAGGTTTTCTCATTTTTTATTATTTTATTTTTCGCATTTTTCTAATTTTTTATTTCTCATTTTTTTATTGATTTTTCTAATTTTTTATTTTTATTTATTTCCTTCATTTTTTTTAAATTATTGTTCTCATTTTTTATTTTAAATTAATTTCGTATTTTTTATTTTTATATATTTTTCTCATTTGTATTTATTTTTATTTTACTCATTTTTTTTGTATTATTTGTTTTTTCAATTTTTTTATATTTATTTTTCTCAATTTATATTTTTTATTTTTCTCATTTTTTGTTTTTATTAATATCCTCATTATTATTTTTATTTATTTTTCTCATATTTTATTTTTATTTATTTTTCTCATGCTTTATTTTGTTTTATTTTTCTCATATTTTATTTTGTTTATTTTTCTCATATTTTATTTTGTTTTATTTTTATCAATTTTATTATAATTAATATATCTCATTTTATTTTTTTTATTTTTTTTTTCTCATTTTTTTATTTTTTTTTTCTCATTTTTTTATTTTTTTCTCATTTTTTATATTTATTTATTTTTCTCATTTTTATTTTTATTTATTTTTCTCATGTTTAATTTGTTTTCATATTCTCTAATTTTTTTTTATTTTTTTTCTCGTTTTTTATATATATTTATTTTTCTCATATTTTATTTTTATTAATTTCCTCATTTATATTTTTATTTATTTTTCTCGTATTTCATTTTTTTTATTTTTCTCATATATTATTTTTTTTTATTTTTCTCATTTTTAGTTTTTAATTATTTCTCTCATTTTTTATTATTATTAATATTTCTCATTTTATATTTTTTTTTTTCTCTCATTTTTCATTTTGTTTTTTATATCATTTTTTATATTTATTTACTTTTCTAATTTTTACTTTACATTTCATTTATCCGTTTAATTTTTTTATTATTAGTTTTTCTTTTTAATAAATTATGTCATGTTTTAAGTCTATTATTTTAATTTTATTTTTTTATATAATACTTTTTTATTTTCCTAACTAAGTAAATAAAACTCCAGAACTTTAATTATTTTCGCAATTCATACATATTAATAAACAACTTTATTCAATTTGATTTCTCATTACATTCAGGAATATATATTATGATTCATACGGCCGATTCATTCACAATTTACTCATTTATTTCTTTATTTTTGTATATGTTTGCTTGTTGTGTACAAATCTTTCACAAATATTTCGCTGAAGAATTTAATTATTTTATGTACTCACATTCGACTTCCACCGTATTTTTTTTTTGTTGTATGTAATATATGCATTATGTATTGTATGTATGTATGCTAAGTATTTATTGTAATGTTGTATTGTTTTGAAAATAAAATTAAATAAATATTTTCAACTCAAAATTCAGCCATATGTGGAATTTAATTAAATTTTGCCATCAAAGAAATGAAAAATATGTATGTATATATATATATATTGTATAAAGAAAAATATTCATAGAAAATTATTTAGTATGAAAAGCATAAATATTTAGTAGTCGCCAGTCAATAGCAGAGAAACTGTAAGGTACAGGTAATATAGAGTTCAAAATTATTTTTGAAAATAATGGAAATAATACATGGAAGTTAGAGAAAAAAATTACATAATTTTGCATTTGTTTTTGTTTTTTTGTCCTTGCAATTTGCATTAAACTTTAATTAATTTTAAAGTGGTTATTTGAAATTTTATATGCATGTTTAATGTAATATTTTTTTTTCAATTTTAAGTTGTAATTTTTAGAATTGATTATTTGTGTATTTTTTCTTTTGTATAATAATGTTTTGGATTAATGTTTAGCGCTTTTTGTTTTTTCTTGTTGCTTTAGTTTCTTTTTTTTTTTTTTGATGTTTTTTTTTCAATTTTTGTGTTTTGTTTAGTGTAACTCAACATACATTCAAAAGATTTACACCACATTACACATGCTGGTTGCATACGCATTCACTACACATTTGTTAATAGGAAAAATTCTATCTTTTAATGCCCCAGGCATTATTGCTCGGAACCGGTACACGACGTTGACCGGATTCACGTTGCATAACCTCCATAATGCTGGTGGCTGGCAACCAGGACTGAAAGACAAGAAAAGATAATAAACATGCGTAAGCATTAATTAAATATTTTTTTACTGTTCTCAATTCGTTCACACTCACCCTCTCCTTGTAGGCAGTAGCTACCACATTGCGATTGGGTTCAGCATCGTAGGCAACCGATTCAACTCCAAACATTTCACACATCTCATGCACCAACTGACGCTTCTCACGATTCATGGTGGGAAAAGAGTGACTACGGGATTTTTGTTTGCTCTCTTTAGCAAGTTTTACCAAATTTGTAAGTGCATCATGTATAGATTTGACCAGTGTGGGGTCGCGTTTTGCGAAATTGCGTATAAAATCAGAATATTTGGTTTGTAGTTTTTGCGGCACATCAGGATTACGGATTTGTAGACCAATAGCTAGGCGACGATTGCGTTCGAGCAGACGACATTCATCATTGCAATCCAAACTGTTCGTAGGGAGGAAAGAAAATTGTATTATTTAATTTTTTTAATTTTGTTTTCTTAGTGTTTTTCTTTTTTTGTTACTTTATTATCTTTAATGTTCATTTTCCCTAAAGTTAAATAAAGTTTATTTAGTTTTAGGCATTTTTATGGCATATGATTTGCTTTTTTATCGTTTATTTATTTTTTTTTTGTTTATTTATATCTTTTAATTATTTTTTTTTGTTTGTTTTATTATTCATTTATTTGTCAATTTTTTCACTTATTTATTTGTTAATACTTTTATTTGTTTATTTCTTTTTTTTCTGATTTTTTTTTTTTTATTTCGTCTTTGTATTTATTATTTTTTTTTTCTTTATTTCTTTTTTTAATTTCTTTTTTTTAATTTTTTATGCTTATTTCTTTTTATGTCTATTTATTTTATATGCTTATTTCTTTTTTGTTTTCATTTCTTGTTTATTTCTATTTCTTTAAATTTTTTAGTTTCTTTATTTTTATTTAAACTTTTTATTTTCTTTGTTTTTATTTAAATTTTTATTTCTCTTTCATTTTTATTTTTATTTCTCTTTGTTTTTTTTTCTATTTCTATTCCTATTTTATTTTCAGTTCTTTTTCATTTTTATTTCTTTTCTATTTTTTTATTTTTATTTTTTTATTTTTATTTTTTATTTTTGTTATTTTTTATTTGTTATTTTATTTTTTATTTTTATTTTTATTTCTTTTTTATTTATATTTTTATTTTTATTTCTCTTTTATTTAAATTTATATTTTTATTTTTATTTCTCTTTTATTTATATTTTTATTTTTATTTCTCTTTTATTTATATTTTTATTTTTATTCCTTTTTTTCAATAAATAAAATAGGAAGAATTTTTTTTCATTTCTGCTTCATTTTTATTTCTTTTTTTTATTTATTTTTTATTTTTATTTATTTTTTATTTTTATTTATTTTTTATTTTTATTTATTTTTTTTTTTTGTTTTTTTTCTTTTTTTTATTTGTTACTTTTATTTTATTTATTTTTATTTCATTTTTGACTTTAATTTTATTTATTTTTATTTTATTTTTTATTTGTATTTTATTTTTTATTTTTCTTTTTATTTTTATTTCTCTTTTATTTATATTTTTATTTCTTTTTTATTCATATTTTTATTACTTCTTTTTTTATCTTAATTATTTTATTATTAATTTATATTTTAATTGTTTTTATTATTATTTTTATTTAAATTATTTTTATTATGATTTTTTATTTTTATTATTTCTTTTCTATTTTTATTATTTCCTTTTATTGTTCTTTTTATTATTATTTCCTTTTCTTTTTCTTTTTATTTTTATTACTCTTTTATTTATATTTTAATTTCTTTTTTATTTTAATTATTTTTATTAATATTTTTTATTTTTTATTTTTATTATTTCTTTTCTATTTTTATTATTATTTTTTTATTTTTACTATTTTTTTATTTTTACTATTTTTTATTTTTATTACTATTTTTATTATTATTTTTTTTTATTATTTTTTTTATTATTATTTTTTTTATTATTATTTTTTTTATTATTATTTTTTTTATTATTATTTTTTTCATTATTATTTTTTTTATTATTATTTATTTTTATTTTTTTTTTAATTTTTTTCTACTCTATTTTTTTTCTTTTTTATTATTCTTATTTCTATTTTTATTTTCATTCTTATTTCCTTTTGATTTTTTAGTTTGTTTATTTAATTTAACAATAAAAATCTATTTTACTTTAATAAATTTTATCCTTTTATGAGCTCTTTATATATTTTGAGAATTTTACGTTATTTTATTGTTTTTCCTTTGTACTTACGTTTTATTTGTCTTATTAATCTTAACGGGAGCGAGTATTTCGCTTAGTTCCATGTAATTTCCACGTTGCATTTCAGCCATGGATGAGGCTAGTTGGGCAGTGGCAATGCGACTGAATTCACGTGCTAGATCGTGGCATAAACGCATCTGCTTACGATTGCCACATTCACATTGAACTTCGACCTGCATGCAGAATTCATAATCATCATTAATACAAATATTCATGCAAATATTGCCATCAATTACACTCACCATCTCCTTGCACGGTGTGTCGGGGCAATCGCCTTCATGACATGGTGACATACATTTGTGGCCGCAAGTGGCACGTAGATTTGTGCAGTTTTGTTTACACACCTCACCCGCCGTCTGGCATGCACCCTCATGACATGTCTTGATACACTTGTGGCGGCCACACGACAAAGGCTTGCCACATGCTAGGCCGCAACTGAAACTCTCCTGTGAACATGGAATGGTTTTACGTTGTTCATGCTGACCAAAACACCATTTCGTAGTGAACATCATGCATGGCGGACAATTGGCCGCCGAGTGACAGTTGTGCTGTGGTGGATGTTGACAGGGATGTGTACGTGAGCAAGGGCGTTTGCAAGCTGGTCTCTTGGTGCCACAAGGCACTGGTGGATAGATAACTTCGGCACCGCACTCACAATAGAGCTCCTCGAAGGAGGAGCGATAACAAGGTGGACAATTACCGCGATGGCAGGGTTGATCGCATTTATGTTTACCGCATGAGAGTGTATAGTTGCAAGGCAATGGGCAAATATGATCGATATCGATACAACATTCCTGATTACACTTGTGCTTGCCGCATGAGCGTTTTTTAACACAACGCTTCTTGCAGCGTGCATCATCGGCGCGTGTTGACAGTTGACGGCACTTGATTAATTGGTCCATATGACCGCAACGGCACTTTACGGCGGTCTGCTTATTACAAGGTGGGCAATTACCCAAATGGCATTTGCTGGTGCAGTGATGAGGATGTGCAGGCTTGCCACAGCGTAGTGTCTTGCTGCAAATGCCCTCACATACCGGTATAGGATCCAAACATGATTCTCTCTGTCCCGTAACTATTGGCATTTTGCCGCAAGGGCACGAGGTGACCACTTCTGGACTTAGCTTACACGTGCGGCATTCACCTGGATGGCAGCAATCCTTGCACTTGTGATTGCCACAAGCCAAGTCTTTGCCACACTGCTTGCCGCATGAATAACTGTGCTTGTCGTGCGAATCGCGTGTGCAAGCCACTTGCCGTTCCTGTTTAGTGCAGTGACACTGTTGGTCTACTTTCTCAGCGCATGGTGCACACTTACCATCGTGACATTTAGCAGGGCATGTGTGCAGCTCACAATTCAACAGCTTGCCACAAGTTGAGTCGCATTCAATGGCTTCCTTCACACAGCATTGCATTGTTTTTGTTGTCTTACCGCAGCCACATTCGCGTTTGACATAAGCCTGACAAGGTGGACATGGACCAGGATGACAGAGCAATGTACAAGCGTGTACACAGCCTTCGACGCGCGCACAGGTGTCGCCACAAGAGTGTGCGATGTCATGACGTGTGTAGGGTGGATTCTTTACTTTACCACAGAAGCAGTAGTAGTCGCGTGGAACATCCTTAACGACATTTTGACATGCAGGGCAACGCCAACCGTCGTCGGATTTTGATGAAGAAGCCCATTTAATGATGCACTGCAGATGAAGTATATGATAACAATTGTTACAGGACCAAACACCATGGTGAGCTTTGATGAGCTCAACACAAACTAGACACTCCAAGCGGCGCGTCTCTATGTCGCGTATGAGTTTTTCACGTTGTGACAACTTTTCATTCTCGGGGTAGACTTTTTTCGGTGAAAGTTTCTGCAAAATATATTTATAGTTAAAATTATAGCTGTTTACATACGTTAAAAGGGTTCAACTAAGGTATAAATTATTTTAATTTTTTTCTTTAACACCGCCTACCTTTTCGGGTGATGGTAATGGACTATCCTTGCCATTATCGTTTGAGTATTTCTCTTCGACACGAAATCCATTTATACGATCACGGTTTCGATTCCAATCATCGCGACGTTTATTACTACGGTGGTAATCGACAGAGCGACGCCCGCTTTGATATCGGCGTGCATCACGATCGCGTTCACGTTCACGCTCTGCACGTGCTGATGGTTTCTCCGACTTATCAATGCCATCCATGTTGGACTTGGCGTTGACAGAACCGCCAGCACCACTACTTCGTTCGTGATTGCGTGGTGAGGAAGTGTAATCGTTACGATTACGTGAAAACCCATTTGCTGACGAACCTCTTGAGCCGCCATTGTTGTTATTAGTATATTGTTTATTAGTTGTGCCGGTATAACGTGTGGCGCTGCCGCCATTCGTAGATGAAGCTTCATTTGAGTCAAGATCAAAGACATTAGTGCTTGCAATTACATTTGTGCCATTATTTTGGCTTTTATTTCCAGAAAAATCTACAATTTGCGCAACTTTTCTCTCATTTCTCTCGTTTCTCACTTCATGTTGTTCAGCACTTGAGGAAGTAGGCGTACCAACATTTGTTGTTGTTTTATCAGCTGCTTGGGTTAACGAAATATTATTAATAACACCATTAGTTTCACCGTTATTGACGGTAATTGCTCCGTTAGCAATGCCATTCAATATTCTCTTATCATTTCCCTCGTTACCAATATGTTGTTCTTTGTTGACATTGCTCTGTTCACTTTTATTGATATTATTTACCGTTGAATCATTATTTACGTTATTCACTTCAGTATTTTCAAATTTTTTCTCATTCAAACTAAGATTACCGAATCGTGGCACAAATTCTGGTGCTGAAGCTTGTAAATTAGACGAAGTGAAATCGAAGCCAGTGGCAAAGGGATTCATATAGTAGCCACCATTATTGCCAAAGGGTGTATAAACATTATCAAAGTAATTAAAATTCGTATTTGTATTGTTGTATGAATTATTGTAGCCGCCAACACTAGGACCATTATTAGCATATAAACTATTGTTGTATGGCGAAAACAGACTATTGGAAAACAACTGCAATAGAGGTAGATATTATCAATATTTCGCTTACACATAAATAAATTTAAATGATTTTACTAAAAACTCATTAAAGTGGTTTGTATGTATTTTGTTTTAGCATGTCATATATGTAACCACATATGTATGCCTCAAAGAGATAAGAAATCGTCGATACGAATAAATTTATGAAAGAAAGAGATTTGGTTGTTGTAGTTACATACATATATATAAATAAATATAATCAAATAATCGTTTTAATTGCAATGTTTTAGCTCTTTAAAGGTTATTTTTTTTTTTTTAACAATGACTCATAAATACACCAGTCTATGCTTTACTACCACTTTATGAAAATGTTTAAAGAAGAAATTTTACTTACATTCGACGTTTGTTGTCCATTTTCTAATTGTATATTATCTCGTGCAGAATTGTTCTGCACTTTCTTACTCATTGTATCGACGAAATTGAAGTAATCATTCTTGGTACCTTCAGACCCATGACCTCCACCCACGCCCCTCGAACTACCATTGGCATTAACTTGTGCAACAGCTGCATGTGTTCCACCGCCAACTGCACCAACATTTTCACTACTATTATTAATCATAATGTCACCGCCGCCGACGCCGCCGCCGCCACCACCTACACTTCCATTAGATCCAAATGAATTGTTGTTGCCCAATAAATTATGCTGCATTATGAATTGGGTGAAATTAACATAATTGTTGCTACCACCTCCAACAGATTCTCCAACTGGCGTAATGTTGTTATTGCTCATAGTTTTTTCTTCAAACGATTGTGGGAAATCGTTGTCTTGAAACGAATCCTTAAGTTGTTGTTGTGTTCCAATATTGTTTGTTAAGGCCCCACTTAAGGCGCTTCCAAATCCACCTTGACAAATTTGTAATATAGGCGCTTGTGGGTTTGATGACATTCCCAAAGTAAGTGCACCAAACAAGTTGTTAGCGTTACAAAAATTGGCTACTGTAGTTATATGCTTGTCAGTTTGTTGTTGTCCACAAATTCTTCGAAGCTACTTTTTTCTATCTTAGCTTCCGTTTGCTTTAGCAACTTCAGTTGTGTTTCCCTCTACAACGTCTTTTCTATTTTCTCTAATGCTGCGTCACTTCAACGTATATTTCACCTCTTGCGCAGTTGCTCTCTCCTCGTATACTACGATTAGCCGAAACTACATATATGACTTATCTATACGATCCCCCGCCGCCGCTAACGTCTTCCAGTTGGAACTAGAGTGCCTGATGCACGCGGCTTTTACTTTAATCCTTCCGGCCAATATTGGCCACAAAATCCGTTTGTGTGCTCAGTATCAGGTACTTTTTACTTAAATGTTGCCCTCACTGGCGAAATATTCCGAAAAAATAAGGAACTAAAAAATTCCACGTCGTTTCACGCACGCGAAAAATTAGTGGCCGTCTGCAAATTGAAGACCAAAAAGTAACACCAAAATATTATTTCCAACTTGCACAATACGAATTATAATTAACAACTAATAAATATGTTTGCTATTTACAATATTTAAGGCAAATAAAAAGTGAAACCAACGCACGTAATTACCGAATATTTGATGTTCTTTCGCTTGCTAACAATTTCACAAATCGGGCAAATGGAAGTTTCGCAATGGACTTCGAATGGTAATTTCGAAAATGCCAGACAGCAAGAAGAGGAAATGGCAAAATGTACGAAAACAGAGTTGTATTTGGTTATGCATAGCTCTTTGAAATATTTGACGTAACATTGTAGGAACGTAAAACTAAAAATGCTAGTAATTCGTAATATTAATAAATGGGTTAAAGATTTGTTTCATTTATTAACATTCCATTCTACATGAGTGTACATCAAAAAGCATTTCACAGCAAATTGCATATATGTTTCGTTTAATAGTGTTTAAAAAATAATATTTAAACCCTGGGCAAGTGTTAAACAAAGAAGCTGCTTCACCATGTACTCCTACTGACGTACAATAATTGTATAAAATATATATTAAGTGAAGTTAAAACGTCTAAAAGAACGCAACAAAATTTAAGCTAGTGAAATTTTGAGAAGCGGTTTCAAAATCACAGTTTCTAATTTATTAAAAATTTTGGCATGTTAGCTTCCCATATTTGAAAGTCACCTGTCACGTAACGTAACTCAAAAGCTCTATCTGTCAGCGGCTTACCGCCATCACCTTCTTACTGATATATCGAAATTGCCGCGTACGGCGTTGCCTTTCCTTGCGCCAATGAGTAACAACGCGCTAAGGTTTTGACGTTTTCTCTTTCTCTTCAAGTTTGCATCATTTTATTAACATTTAATATATTAATTGCATTTATTTCTTAAATTTTTCTCTCATATGCCTATTCCTCTACGGCAGTTATTGCTTCTTTCTTACACATGTATATTCTTCACAGCTAAGTTCATCATGTAAAGCGCTGTCAAAATTAAAAACTCCATACAAATTGCAATTGCCATGAGAATTTTTGACAGTTGCTTAGCGCCCAGCGCTCCAATTCAGGGATGGTAGTTGAAAAAATATGCCAGTGTCATACAAATTTTGACAGTCAGCTGTTGTGTCACACAGCAACGTTGGCTCACTTTTTTATAAATCACATCCACTTTCGGCAATGTTAACATACGTGGGCGTAGAGTTAATGCCAATAATTTCTGAAAAAAAGTTATTACTAATAATGCCTCGCTTATTTGTTCAGTTCAGTTTAAAGCCTAAAAATTTATTGCACTTTCCTATTTGTGAAGATCTCAACAAAGTTTATTTATAACTTAATAAATTACAATTCGCTTTATATTTTATAACATTACTTTTTAACCGACTAACCGCTCTGTTAGCCACTGCCTTATATAACTCACCGGTTGCTACGACTCAGTACTGGTTACTACTCTTACATGTTCTTACGAACATTTGTCATTTGTATTTGAAATTTTCGCTACTTGGGTGTGGGTTATGACAACTTTAATTTAAAAACCATTTTTTTTTTTTCAATAAATAAAAACACAATTTATTGTTGCTGGTATGGTGATCGGTTTATTTCTACAATACATTTAATATCGCTTTGTATTCATGTGTATGTATGTATGTATGTATATATATAGTAATTTTTATGCATTTTTCCATAGGTATACAATAATATTATCACATCTTATATACATCTAAAATATTTATACTATATTCCTAGTGCATGTATATGTAGTTATGTATGTATATATCTATTTATGTTTCTATGTACAATACATAAAATATATTTTAATATTTCTAATATTTTGTTTTTAGTTTTACAAATATTTTTTTTTGTGCATTTTATGACTTAAAATTCTTACATATAATGAGTGTTGTTGTAATGGCTGTATCTTTTTTTTTTGTAATAATATATAATACTAAGTGCAGCACGACAAGTGTATGTTCATTTAACAGTTATTTTGATTTATATATTCAAAGTACATATAAGTATATAGACTTTATCTTTCTAAATTTGCATGATTTTTGTTTGATCTCAAACAACGATTTGTTAATAATGAATTATTTTCTTAGTTATTTGGTATTTTGGTGAGTAAATAATATAACATTATTAAAGAAAAATAATATTTAGATCGAAGTAAATAGATTTCATATTTTTATTTCATTTTTTTTTTTCAGCATAAATTCAGCAATTGTGGCTTATGTACTTCCTGAATGACTTTTTTTTAATTAAATTGCAAAAACAATAATTTTAAAAACAACTAGACTGTTTTTCTTTAGTTTTTTTTAAACTCACTGGAATTATTTTCAAACACTAATCGCTTCATACATATATTTTTTTTAATTTATTTTCTTTTAATATAGTTTTTACTATGAATTATGTAAGGTCCTCTTGGGAAATAACCTTAAAACTCCTATAAAAATATCTCAAGAGATTTTCATAAGCAATTTGGAAAGGCATTTTTAACTGGAAATTTCCTTTTACGCCTTTTCCGCGGTGAAATTAAAAAATGAAATTCATTCTAACCTCAAAACTCTTATGTAGGTGCTTACGATCTTCAAGTGGTTTTTTTGTTTCTAATACATTTAGTCTAAAAAATTTCGGTTACTTCATAAAGCTAAATTTCCAAAGTTTCTGCCGCTTCGTCTTGATTTCTATTTTCACCACACAAAATATATGCATGTGTGTTTGACACCTTTAAAAATGGTGAAAATTCTTGTCTTCACTTTTCAGATTTTTCCCTTTCACTTTTTTCTTCTTAGTAAATACACTCGCCTAGCAAATCGCAGGCACCTTTTTCGAGCGGTTTCAACCACAATGGATTGTAGTTGGGACATATTTTGCTATGCATTGGTATTTTGATGGCAACCGGTGTTATGGGTGCACCCTCCCAGTTGTAGCCGTCAAAGCGATAACCGTCCGACTTGTTGCACTGCATGCTCAATGGTTCCTGTATATACATGGTGTATAATTCGTCCACGCGCGGCTCGGTCCATTTGATGCTGTGATAATTCTTCGAGCGTCCACCGTTTAAATGGATGCCACGTTGATGTTCTTTTCTGAAAAAAAAAAAAATAAATAAATATAAAAAATTAAATATTTTGTATATAAATAAAAACTGGCGTTAATCGATAAATAATCAACATCTTTGACTCTCAGACCTCAACTCGAAGTAAAAGTATTGTTGCGAAAATGCGAGGCGAATGTCAGATGAAAGAGAGAAGCCGATAACTAGTACGTTCTAGAAACGATAAAACAAGAACCTTCCATAGCGAACAATTCGATGCTTCTACGCTTTCGTCTGCGAGCAGCCGACTGCTATATAAAGGCGACACTCAGCTGCAAGTCAAGTGAGTGATAAAGTAAACTCGTTGGCGTTAACATCAGTAAAGTCGTAAAGTAAACACGTTGGAGAGTACATTTAAGTAGAGTGAATTGTGCAAGTTGATGATAGTGATTGTAAATAGTAGAGTGTATTGTAATTGTATTGTGAATTACGGAGTAAATAAAAGACATTAGATAAAATCTTTATAACGAAAGAAACTGCAAATTGAATTGGCGAGTTTTTATTTAACAATCCAGAGATCGTACCCGAAGGATCTAGAAAATAATCGAGGTTGATTTAGTAAAATCGTAACAGTATCAATTTTGACTATGATGACTGCCTGGAAAACTCAGCTTTTTGTTAGTTTTCGAAAAGAAGGCAAGAAGAAAAGAAAGAAAAAGAACAGAACTCGGCCGCCACTCAACTTGTTAGGCTTCTAGAGTTACGTGTATCGGACGACTTGAGTCAACTCTGTGGGAGGATCTACCTAGCTACAGTGGTGGAACCAGTTTGCACTGCATTCATATGTCGAGAGTAGTTACGCTGGTAAAAGAAAGTCTGCGGATCTTGGTTGCATATCAGGAGCATGCTTACACCGTCAGAGTTTTTAGATTTTTAGGCCTTTGCCTTCATGTTAATCACTACCTCAAACTTTTTGTTCGTACTGTTGTTTGACAATTTACGCAGATGGAGAGTCAATAGTCTCCTAGTTCTAGCGATCTACCGAAGCTTGTAGTGTGAAAAGACGGTTAATATGGCATACGAGTTGCTTTATGTTCGCCGCGGGAAGTTTCCACTAGAACATTGCATTTCGTGCGTTAAAGAGAGATTTCACAGCGAGCCCAAGTTTGGTTACGCTAGGAACCAAGATAGAGCTAGAGAGCAGCTCTCCCTCTTACCGACGATTCTCAATAACTTAAAAAAATGTCCATCCAGTAAGACTGAGGTTTGACAGTGGCAGAAAGCTTCTACGAATAAGAAATAAAACTGTCTAATCCTTAAATACCCCGCCTATGGGTCTCTTAGTATCCCAGCTACTGAATTGAGTTCTTTGTTGTAAGAATATCCGGTTCGGCCTAGCGTAGACATCACCCCTTCATGCTAAACCTGCCGCTTCTTTGAGAAAATTAGGTCATCTCTTCGCAATGTATGAAATGAGCAGCTCGCGACTAACAGTCGGACGGAGCCGAATTGGTGAGGGCACTTAAGAAACTCTCATTGTGTTGCGAAACCAAGTAAAGGGGAATGTATACATAACATAAATATGTCCAGTCCGCCATCGAATGTCTCATAGCTAAGCCGCAACTAGAGTGGTTATGTTGAGTCCGGAGCCAATCAGTAGATCTGGGCAGCCATTTGGTTTGCTCTTTTGGACTGCAGCTTCTGAAAAATTATACCAGTTCGTTAAGTGAGCTTTCCCTTCGGTCTTCCCTAGGAGTCGGTTCCAGTAAATTGTAGCGAGACTATTTCGGTTGTAATTGAAGACATTTGGTATCCGAGTGTGCTGTTGCTGTGATACTCGCAGTGGACAAAGCCGGTGTTATTTCCCCGACTGTGTAGAATTCATTTGAAAGGACAGGCTACTTCAGCAGGGAGTAACGTTGGTATCATTCCGATCATCCATTCCATAAATCATACGAAAGTGACGTCCTTCTGAACATTATTTACATCTGGCTAATGTCGCATTCTGACTGTTTGGAGTACCAGAGGCTGTCGAGAGGCCCGCACACAGTGATTGGAACTGGATTGGCAAGCCCACTGCCGATGGGCAAGTGGGACCAACTGGGAGACCAGTCAATCGAAACACTTATGAGGACGTTCAAGAGCTAGGAAGGAAACTTTATCACGGCGAGAACTGATTCTTTTAAGCTACAGCTGCTGAATTCGGTTTCTTTTTCATTACATTAGGCTCCTTTAAGAGTTTTTAATACACAGCTTATTTTAGCTTCCGCCTTGCTTAGAGCTTAGCAAACCTATAACAGGTGAAAAATGGTCTCAATGTCGCCATAGAAATGCCAAGAAATGTCCTACTTGCTGAGAAAGTTTGAGGCATACGACCTGCTACGGCTTCATTTTGGCCCAGCTTGCCTACACTTGCCACAGATCAAGTATTGTTCATCTTTTAAAGCGGCATTTTTATGAAAATAATCTTTTAGTAGCAGTTTTCCAGGGTCTAGAAGCATACCAAAGCCTTTTTTATATGGAAAATCTGCGACGTCGTACATTGCCTAGCAAGCCTGCCTGCCTTTTACTTCCTCTCTATGTCACTGTGACCAGAAACCTCAACATGGGTGGGTCTGTTATATTTAGCCAATTTCTGAGGAGATCTGTGACAGCCTAGCACGGTTCTAGAGTTTCCCCCAATCGAATCTAGGTTTATCACTACTGCCCGACCATCAGTAAATAAGACGATGGAACTTCACTGTGACCAGAAACCTCAACATGGATAGGTCTGTTATATTTAGTCAACTTCTGAGGAGATCTGTGACAGTCTAGCACGGTTTTAGAGTTTCCCACAATCGAATCTAGGTTTATCATTACTGCCTGACCGTCAGTAAATAAGGCAATGACACTTCACTGTGACCAGGAAACTCAGCGGGGGTGGGTCTGTTATATTTAGCCAACTTCTGAGGAGATCTGTGACAGTCTAGCACGGTTTTAGAGTTTCCCAAAATCGAATCTAGGTTTATCATTACTGCCCGACCGTCAGTAAATAAGGCAATGGCCCTTCACTGTGACCAGGAAACCTCAACGGGGGTGGGTCTGTTATATTTAGCCAACTTCTGAGGAGATCTGTGCCAGTCTAGCACGGTTCTAGAGTTTCCCACTATCGAATCTAGGTTTATCACTATTGCCCGACCGTCAGTAAATACCGCAATGGCACTTCCTGAGTTTCCGCTTTCGTTACCGGGATCAAACTGTGTTTCCTAATTATTAACTTAGCTCTTAAGATTTTAAAGCACCGGAATTCCTTCGAACTGGTTATCCTTGTACCAAGTTTACTTACTTTTTCATAAAAATGAAATAATTTTCCAGCGTATCTTCAGAAACAGAACTTTTGCAGACCTCCAGCTGTGTAGCCGGATAGTAATGTATGTAATTAACGCACATCTCATCGCTGATGGAAAAACCACCCAGAGTTACATTTTCATAACCGAGCGTATTGTAGTAGCACGTTGTGACTAAAGCGTCGCCCTGCAGAAGAAAGAGAAAGTTGTTGAACATTGTACTCACTAGAGATACCTAAGAAAGTGGAAGACAAAAACATTTCGTCGTCAACTCACCGGTAGTACATGTGGCTTATAGTGTAGATTGCGCATTTCCTGAAAATGATGCGAGTAATAGTCATCACGGTTTATTTCGCGTAGCTCTTCATTGTCACGAAAGTGACGCGTCAAAATGCGTACGCCGCGTAGATGTGTATGAAGCTGTGAGCCGAATATGATGATGCCGCTGGAGGGAAGAGCCTGTGAGTAGGAGATAGTAAAGTAATTTGAGCATAAATATATTTTTATTTTTATTTAAACAACAACCTAAACCACTTACCACTTCCGTACACTCGGCAATGCAGTAGCCGCTTAGTGGAAAACCCACTTGACCCGGTGGTATTGCCATCTTATCTGTATACTCCAAACCCAATTCCATAACGCCCGCATCGAATTGTCTCAACTTGGGCGATAATTTGATTCTCATGCCCGAACTGTCAATGCGCCCTGCCAGCGAGTATACGAGAAAAGAGAACAAGAACATGGAGTATCAACTTTCCTGTGCGCTAACTCAGCAACACATACCTTCCTTCAACTCGGGATTGTTGAAATGTACCTCCAGACGCACATAAGGATTATAGTCCTTACCGCCTACAGGTAGACCCGTTTCCGGTGGATAAGTGAATGTGCTAGCACCCATGGCCCACAGCGATATGACTTTGGAGCATACTTTAGCTTCCAGCGGCATTTTTTCACAATCTCCATTGTACAATGGTATTTCCACTTCAGCATCAGTTTCACAATGGAACACCTCCAGATGATGCACCAAATCGGGCGAGGTAATTAACGGTTCAAATTGCACTATATGCTGTTTCGCTGCAAAAGACTCGTCCAATTTTTGTATGTGACACCAATAAGTGGTCTCTTTCGCGGGCACCGTAACATTTTCCAGTGTGACTTGTATGGTTTTTAAATTTCTAAAAATTCGAAAATTAATATAAATTTCATTCTTAAATACTAGAGCGAGTTTTTACCCTTCTGGTATGAGTATTTTGTCGGCTCGCAGTAATTGCATCATCTTAACGCCCGACTCGTGTGTTGAAACATTTGGCAAAGGGAATTGATAATCTTCAAGCGCTAAACTACTCTCACCTCGTGCCCAAATTATGTACATTGTGCCCTCCTGTAAATAGAAGGTTAAAAAATAGTTATCAAAAACTTTTTATTTTTGAAACTGTGAATAAATTCAATATTAAGCTCATTCATTGTATTCTAAGTCTAAACCAGGTGTTATTTAAAATTAAAAGCCAAGCATACGAATAATCGATAAATGCGTAATCGATCTGCTCTGTCGAGCGGCGGTGGTGAAATATAAGGGAAATACAATATTCTTGTAGTTATTTATTTAACTCTACATTACTTAACTGTGCGTGAAATAAGTAAAATGTGTATAAAGGTAGTTAAAATAAAATAAATATTTTCTTATTGGCACTTCTCATAGAAAGTGAATTTTAAGGATGCAAGCGCGCCATGTTATCTAAAATGGCGGACGCAATAGCCGAGAGGTTTGACTGCTATTCGAAAGGCCAGGATTCGATCAATATTCAAAATTATAAAAAAATTAATATTTTGCAATTGAGGTCTCCCCTCCGGGTATATTTCTGACAATAAATAAAATAAATTGTAAGTCCCTCCGTTTGTGGGAAAAACAATCAGACAAATTGAAGGAGGAGCTATGTCGAAAATCGTTTCAGAAGTCGCAAAGCGCTAATTTTATATGCATATACATATGTACATATATGACTTTAATGGAAAGACCAAGTAGAGAAACACATGGCTGTACTTGGTATTTCCAATTTGCATCATACGGCGAAAAGAAGAAAGCAATGTTGTTAAAAAAAATTTTCTTTTGAATTACTACATACATATTCATTTTGAAGAAATAAAATAATATTACAATAATTTTGAAGAAGTGGATGTAAAAGAAAACTAAGTGCATTGGTTGGCATACGCAAAATCAAAAATTAAAAATGTCGTCGCTGTACCGAAAAAAAGTGAAGGCAAATACACTTCCTACAAATATGGGAAAGGAGAAGAGTAAACAAAATTATTACTGAAAAAATGTCACTATATACATAATTTCAGTGGTGGAATATTTTTTGCTAGTAAATACAAAAGCAAGTTAAACTTAACTAACTCTCTACAGCGAAGTTAAGGACTTTAAAATCAGCGATAGCGGTCTGAATTACGCTGTAGGTGCGGCAAAAATTATTTTATAGCTTTATGTGAAAAGAATAGGCTGCGCTGGCAAAGATAAATATTTCAAAGGGAATTTTCTATGAGTACACTGGACTCCAAATTGAAGTATTTTAATCCCTCCTTTAAGGAAAATAAACCTTGCTTCGAGTGCAGCATATCAGAATGTGACAACCAAGATACAAAACAAAACGGATAAGCATAATTTTAGGCAAAAAAGTGCAGTAAACCAAAAAAAAAAAATTTAAAAAAAATAACCAGAAACAATTCTTCCAAGAATTTTTAAAAGATTTGATGTTTTAGCCAACATCGACACGGATTTTCTTGCTTTAAGACGGGATAGCTGCGTAATGGGTACGATAAAATAAAAACACAATCAATTAAAGATAAAAAAAACAAGATTACTATCTAGGTCTAACAGGAATCGTTTAGCCTATATCTTACCTACTAGAAAAATATCTAGCTGGGATAAAAGGATTGAACTCAAACCCATGACTCCGTGGGAGTACAGATAATTATTATTCCCAAACTTTTTCGGAAAATCAAATGGCCCAAATCCCTGAACTAACCAACTTTTTTAAATAAGCCAAAATCACATTTTAGGTTTGTTGAAAATAACCTTTTATTGGAAAGAAAATAACAATAATTTATTTTTTCAGCTCTTGGGAATATATGGACATCGCCATTCAATCCGACCTAAGAAATAACAACCAATATCACGAGCGCCAACAAGTCAAGAGGAGCATCCATCACACGCCAAAGGAACAACCAAATGAAACTAAGACCAATATTCCAGCGTCTGAGGACTCTAGTGTTGCAATAATTTGGTGCGGGTGAGAAGCTGATTAGTGCAACCCTCAGATTCTTTCGATAAGCTTGGATTTTTTTTTAACAATTGTGAAACTCATTGTAAGGCAGATTTTGACCACGGCATTAGACTTCACTTGAATGCGCTAAAAGGTCTCAGGTAGTCACGCCAGCGCAATCCAGCTAATTTGCCTTTTCTCCACAAGTGATTAATGTATATGTGGCTGTATCCATTTTTTCAATATTTCGGAAGTGGAATAATTACTTTGCCGTCTAACAAGCGGCCGGATAAACAACAAACAATGAAGTCACAATAGTGTAAAATATACGCATATATATTTACATACAAACTTACATGCATTCTCAAATCCAGTGGATCACAAGTGTCGAATTTCCGCTTAAATGCCAAAGTGTATTCATCCATTTTGAAGAGTTCACAATCTTGTTGATAGTCTTTTTGTACAAATTTACCATCTGGACTTGTATAGGTGTCGGTGACAATGTTGAAAAATCCATTTTGATTTTCAAAGAAACAGATGTCAGCATCACCCATACCGCCACGCTTGGAGAAACCCAAATAGAACCAACGATGCTTTTCATTAAATGCATTTTGCAAATGAAAGAGCACCTCTTGTTTATACCAGTCCACCATCCAGCTGAGTTTTATCTCGGAGTTGTCCAAATAGACTTCGTGAAGTTTGATATCCGATAAACCTGAGAATGAAGTAAGAAGAGCATTTACATATACCGGAAATTAGTAAGGAAAACTATTTAATTATATGAAAATTAGCTAGAGTTATTTCGTTCCTTTATGAAAGCTAGCAGACAAGAGGGCTTAATTTCCTGAAATAATGTTCTTTTAATGCCATATTTCTATGTGGTGGTCCCGGTTCTTAAACCTCCCGAGTATCGTAAAACAAGTATCTCTGTCGCTCCGGTCAGCCACCTCACATCCCAGTAGCACATCAGAGGGAATTAGCATCACTATTACGACTCACGCAGACAGCTCATTGCATCAGACAAAACTTATCCTGCAAGCGAACTGTCTTAATAGCTTGGAGTTGTCGAATGCCTTTGACAAAATGAATCACAAACGTTACCTAATTTCTGATCGGCAGTAATTGATAGAGATTTGAGGTCAAAACTATGCACTCAGAACTCCTCCTCCACCAGAGAGCGGGATTCCCATCTTCTTTGCCGAGGATTAATCGATGTAGGCGTCGTATTTGGTTAGGGATGACCTTTGCTTGGCAGTAAGCTACTATTGCTCCGATCTCTGGAACCCCTTAGCCGCCAGACGGATACGATTTTAATGCGCAAATTTCATAACGATCCAAGCTCTCTACGGATTTGATGATCCTTCACCTCTTACTGTCAATCTTAGACTTCTTTTGTTTCTCTGTTTATATTATTTCGAATCGGCTGGCTCTGGTACTCCGCGGAAATAAAATGACTTTGGAAATGTTATGAGTACTTCCCTGTGAAATCTTGGCAGACCTCGTATTATGTACATATCTCGTCGTCAGTGAGTTGATGGCACACCTCAAAATACTCCCATTTTTAGCGCTCGATCTGACCCTGAGCATTCTACCTCATAAGAGTAGATGGCTTCGCTCACATTATCTTTCCCCCCCGGATTTTTTTTTAAATAACTATGGGACTTAATATACGTTATGGGATATAGGAAACGATACCAAAGTCCTCTCCTCTTCTAAAAGAAGGATAGAGTTCTGATCGGAGGCCTACACAACGAAAACGAATGCTAAATAAGACATCAGCTTAGGTGTATGAGAATAGCTTTGGTGAATGCCATTCTGGGCATTATGCGGGCGAACTACGAAATCCCACGATACCGGTTTGCCGCTTACGAAGACACTCTACTTATAGTTCGATGTTGGCATCGCCCAGGCCCTCGCACCCTATAGCAATATGAGACTTAGTGCGCCGAGAGAGGGTTTTAATTTTCAATTGCCTACTTAGTCCAAAGGCAAACACCAGTTGGTAAGAGCGACTGTGCATTGGATTTCAAATCTGACATTGTTTGTGGTGCTGATGCTAATTCCGAGATAAGTGAAATTATCTACGACTTCATAGAAACGACTGTTAAGAGTGACGTAGGAGACAAAACGCAAAGAGGTATTTGGTCTGGCTCTCATTCACCCATTCGTCTCGCTACCTCATACAGTCAGCAGGAAGCATAAACATGTCACTCATACAGTCAGCAGGAAGCAGAACCAATGGCAAGAAGAGCTCATTTCCGATACTTGCGGTGCTTTTATGGTTACACAATGTCTATTTACTCAGCCGTCTAAGTCGACTAGCTTTGTTAATATAACAGCTCGTGTAAACATAAATATGTAATGAAAATTTCATAATAATAACAAGCTATTAATATAATAAGGAATCCCAAACTGGAATTTGAGTATGTACCACTCAAGCGGTGTACGCCTCATCTACACGATTATATCCCTTGCATAAATGAATAAAATATATTTAACAACAGAATAAAACACAAGACATGATAAACGAGAACACACAATAAGGAAAAAAAAAAAATAAAAAATACATGAAAGCGGAAAAGAACATAAAGAATTCATAAAATGCCAACATGTCACTCGATCCAACGTTTATGAGAAATGTTCAACAATTTTATCCGCCAGCATTACGTGTTCTTCAGCTTGACCCTATCTCATGCCCAACCTCCAACCGCTGCGAGATCCTTCATCATCAGCAGCAGCAATACCGTTACTATCAACTGTACTAGATATGTTTATGCAGCAAGTAACCTGCAAATGACAGCAGCCGAGTGTGAGTAACCAACCCCGGCAGTCAACCACCCAAATCAGCTAGTTAAAAGTTCATTGATAGGTATGGAGTCTTGATGCGAACGTCAATGCCATAATAATAATAAAGGACGCAAGAATGTCGGAATGCCATGGCAGTAGCACATGGCAAGACATCGCATACCAAACGACTTCATCACCATCATCATCTTCAACAGCAGCAGCAGCAGCATCTACCAAGAAGTACACGAAAGAATGAAATCGTTTGTTGGTGGTGACGCCTACATATTGACATTCCTACAAACACACAAACACACACACACAAGCAGATAAGCAGTCAATTGTGCATGGTTGCTTCTCAAAGACGGCATACATTTGCTAATACGACTTGTCATTACTTTGTACTTGAGATCATTATATGTATGTGCGTTTCACACCGATTATGGTGGTATTTAAGCAAAATTATATATTAATGGGTATTGAAAATGTGGGCTGCATAAAAATGAGTGAGTAATGAAAATGCCTTCGTCATACCTGCATAAAGTTCCGCATGCGGTTTACTGTATATATGTACATAAATTTGTATGTATTTGTGCCTTAATGTAGTTGTAAATATTCACATTCATTAATAGCTTGCTGTTTCACGCCACACCGAATTCCCAGAATTTTCTTCATTTTTTTTTTTTTGAATTATTTACAGGCTTATGATGGATTGTTGTGAAAATACCTTCATTAATAATTTCATTTGATTATACTTTATAATTTGCGTTATACACAAACATATAATGGATGAATTTTCCGTAATTTAAATGCACGTGTGCTAATATTTCATATTTCCATTTCCTTTAAACAGCTCACTATAAATAAAAAAACTCCAACTTCGCCTTTTTATTTATTGTGCATTTCTTCAGAAACCCTCTATATTGCCCTCTATATTGTGAACACAGCATAAAATCATTTCATTGTGAACATAGCTTAAAACTTTGCTATCTTGTTATCGATACATTGCATGACATTTCCTTATATATTTATCGATATTTGAACAAAGGTAAAAAAAACAGTTCATACATTTCCTGGTAGCGATCAGAGAACTGTGCAAAGTCATAAAAAATGCTTGCGGCCGCCATAGCCGTGTGGTTAGCATTGCGTACAGCCATTCGTTTATAGAAAATTCATTTAAATAAAAAATTAAGTTAAATTTTCTAATTGTGGCCGCCCCTCGGCAGGGAATTTCAACCCCTCCGAGTGTATTTCATGACATGAATGAAAGCACCTCACATAAAACTCCAACAGCCGTTCGGAGGGGCCTTAGTATAAACTGTAGGTTCCTCCATTTGTTGGAAAAACATTGAGATGCAAAACCATCAACTGTAAGAGGAGCTCGGCGGAAAATCGCTTCAGCGGTTATAAAGCGCCAATTATATATGTACATATATTATAAACACATAATGAAGGCTCCGCGGCTTGATTTACATTACCCTATGCCATTATGGTGGAAAAATGTAGTTGTTGGGACAAGTTGGTGAAGCGGTGAATGAAACAATTGCGCGTTGCTCAAGCACAACTGAAAATATCGCCCAAAGTGTTGAAGAAAACCCCTTTTTTTTGGAATTGGACATGCCACAAACGTCAGAATACCGTTTCCATTAAAGCTTGGGCCTTTTTTTCGAACTGTGTTATCTCTCGAAGAGGTGATCGCAATTGGCCACAGAGATTCTGCGACTTAACACATTGCGATTTCTTCGTTTGAGATTACGAGAAAGATAATGTCCACGCCAACAGGCCAACGTCGATTCGAGATTTCAAAGATGAGATTCGTTAAGCTATTGAGGAAAATTTCATATAAAGGATATCGTCCTATAAGGGTAGCCGTGGCGTCATTTGGGTGATATTGTTTTCCACCTCTGTGCAAGATGCGGCCACTAACTTGTGTGGTGCTTTGGGACTTAGAGAAAGAGCGAGTTCAGTGAGTCACTCTTACATATTTCAGTGGAGTTTTTTGCAGCGTCCCGTACAAAACAGTACAAAGAAAAACAGACAACACCATCCATCCCACCCGCATTTGTAGGCTCTGCGTCAAAAAACAAAAGGAAGGTCCAGCATCTTAAAAATACAATCACAACACACAGCTTTCAACTCGACTTGTACTCTCTCTCTCTGAGAGTTTTTGGCAATAACTCGAAGCGACTTCGATAGGAAAACGAATGGCTCTGGGAGTAAATAAGGAATATTTCGTGTATCTGTTGAGTTGGATCTAAAAGTTTTCGTAGGTTAACCTAGATTTTTCAAGCGGATAACACATTATGTAGTCTAGTGATTTAAGCGAACGAGCGAAAGAGCATTTATAAAATTTAAGTCCGCCTACTTTAACTAATTTTTGTATCGATTGACATGAGTATGATTTGTTGTATTAATATACACAGTAATGAGTCTCATGAAGTCTAAATTAGCATGACGAACTCGACAAAGTATCCTTAATATTGACTAATTATTCAAGTCTAATGCACTTTTTCCACATATTACTACTCGCTTGTTTATTTTTACCACACTTATATTGTGTCTGACACAAAAAAAAATTATACAAACAAATGTATTTGTTATGTACTACTTACTGTCTGCCTCATAAGCTTTACACAATAGCTTACATGTAGTAGACATGACTTTGCGGTAATCGCCGTCGATTTCATAAGAGCTACAAACAACATTCAATGTAATCCACACACTTGCAAGTTTAAACCCATCTGCACACACACGAGCACACACACGAGCACACCGCACAAGCTTAAGTAGTACATGGACTTGTGGCAATACTCATACGACATGTAGACCTTAGGTTGAGTTTCCCTTTATCTTCAGGCTTTTTGGAATTTTCTCCGAATTATTTATTATTTATTATTAGATTTTTGAGCTACCCACTGGAAGTCATGTAAA